CATGACTAGCACCCGACCATACTTGCCGAGCACCAACGTACATTTTATCTAACCTTTTTCTTATTATCTTCTAGGGTTGACGAGATCAATATAAATGGTAGACCTGGATCACAGACAACCAACAATAAAATATGTTGGCATGAACATACATAGCAAGAGATGACCAGACAATCAAGAAACTACATATAAGGTACGAGCTACCACGCTACCATGAAAGACTATACAACAAAAATCAGCCGACAAGGCATACCAAACTATACATGAGTCGACACTTGTCTATAAGCCTCTATATGAACATAAGTACTGCAACATAGCCGGAACAGGGCCCCGACATACCCATAATGTCTATAACAAAAATGCATACCAAGACCACAGCAAGTCCTAAGAAGGGATCTCGCCAATCACTGCTGAACTGGACAACCTACTGTGGTGGGGGAGTTGCATCTGCCTGTCTATTAGGGCTTGCAGCACGACATGCAGCGTCCACAAACAAAAGGACGTCAGTACGAATAAAGTACTGAGTATGTAAGGCAGGGAACCATAAATATGAACAGTAATGTAAGTAGGGATAGAGAATATACAACTTGGAACATCTGAGTACCTCTGAGGGCTACTGACATGAAATGCATGATACATATGTATAAATACATAAACCTTTAAAACATTCGCCTCTGTGGGCATCATCATCATCATATCGTACCCGGCCATAATAGGCTCGGTAAAAAACGTACCCGGCCATCATAAGGCTCGGTAGAATCGTACCCGGCCACGTGGAGCTCGGTAAAACCCAACTGATCAGTGGTTGCACAATAGGTGCCGTACCCGGCCAACTATAGCGTGGCTCGGTAGAGTAAAATAGATACATATATATAATGCATGCTCGACTCATGGAATCACATTCTAAACCTTTCGGAGTGACGTAAGGTCGGTATCCTCTGTACACGTTATTAGGACTAACTCTTCACTATGAACCTTATAAGAATCAGGAAGTACCAACAACATTGATAACATAAGAATAAGAGAAGCAACATTAACATCAATCGTTCCATAAGAGGGAAAACAATGTAAGTACTGCTAGCTTCTAAGAGTAGAGTATCTTTGGAAGCTCGTTCATTACATTATGTACAATCGGAGTCGTGCAAAAGAAGAAAAGGGATAGCCTCACATACCTTGTATATACTTCCCCAATCACAAGCTATGCAATTGTCACAACTCCTTAATCTACAATAAGAGAAACGATACTATCAATAT